CTGTGTAGTAAACGGGCCAATGGTAGCAACGCACGAGCCTACTGCAGGTCCGTTTTTCAACAAAAAACTACTCCACTCCCGATCTAGATCATGAAATTGTCGGTGTAGTCTACACATATTCCTAGGAGGGGTCTGTTGAACACTTGCTGTCGTGTGCATACCAGAGCGATTTTCTGCTTCTAGATCGGGGGCAAGCGAACGCGGATTCACCTTCTGGATGTCTTGCTGGTGATCGGCTCCCGGCATAAGCATGCTAAGGAGCCATGCCGGCGGGGCCTTCGCCGCCTCCACTGCGTTTGTGACCGCGCTGACGACAACGGCCTCCAGCGGCCCGCCGCTTGCCAGGAGCGGTTTACTCTGTTGACTGGCGGNTCGGCTCCCGACATCAGCATGCTAAGGAGCCATGCCGGCGGGGCCTTCGCCGCCTCCACTGCGTTTGTGACCGCGCTGACGACAACGGCCTCCAGCGGCCCGCCGCTTGCCAGGAGCGGTTTACTCTGTTGACTGGCGGCGTCGGCGCGGTTTTGCAGGATGTCGTGTGCGAGGTCGTCGTCGATGTTGTCGTCATCGTCATCGTCGTCGTCAGGGGGTGGGTCGGTGTCGAGGGTTTGGGTTCCAGCCTTGGCGCCGTCGCTAGCGCTGCTGTTGTTGTCGCTGTCGCGACCGTCACGGACCAGGGGGTGGAAATAGCTGTAGTACTTGACAGTCCTGCTTGATCTCCATGTGCTTTGTGTGCTTGCTGCTGTGTTGCTGCTGTACAGATTGACGGGCTCACCTCGCAGGGCGGGGGCGCGAGGTGTATATCTCGCGACGTCTCGTACTGGCGCGCGGTTGTGCTCCTGTCGACCTGTCGTGCTCTCTCGCTCTTCGATCCTTGCTTGGCCCGTTGACGTTGACCAATGAAAACCCTTCATGATCCGCGGGTCTCCAGACAGGGGGTAAGGACGAAAATGTCAAAATCACTTGTGAAAAGCAGCGGGCGGGACATGTTGGGTTGACATGACCTCCACTGCGCTCCTGCTGTGCTTGTGCTGGCTGACTGTAGCAAACATCGGCGCCTTTAGTCCAGTCATATCCGCAGTCCGGCAGCGAAAAGCGATTCTCAGGCAGCAGCGGCGTTCGCGGAGTCCTTCTCAGGAATCGATCATGATGTGCTGCTCATCACAGGACGTTGACGCGTGCAGCCGCCGCTACAGAGTGAGGACGTGTTCCGGCAGCGAGGACTACTCGGCGGTGATCGGCCTCGTCGACGCTTGGTGGGGGGGAAGACGAGTGTCGCCGATGCTGCCCCGGCTTTTCTTCGATAATTTCTGCGACACTACCTTCATGGCGGTCATCAGGGACGAAGAAGCACAAAAAGCGGAAGCACAAATCGCGGAAGCACAACAAGCGGACGCGGCAGACACGACACAGAGGGACGAAGTTATTGTGGGGTTCCTCTGTGGATTCGTCTCCCAGTCTAGGGCGGGAGAGGTAGGTAGCCAAGGGCATTGTCCGCACACCTCAATCTTTGGCAAGCCTGTTTTCCTTTCGCCTTGCGCATGCAGCTCTCTTTGTGTATTGACCAACAAGAGGACAGCTCGGGTACGTCCGTAGTGAACGGAGTCCCAACTAACTTGGGTTTGTTCGTGTACGGAAATGCACTGGCTCTTTCTCTTGGTAAGCAATTCAACGCTGAGCACGCTGTCTTCGTGCCTCCGAGAACGGAGTGGGTTCTTGGGTGTTTAAATGAGAAGGAGGTGGTTAAAAGACAAGGGGAAACATTTGTGTTCGAATTCAACGTATTGGACACGTGTCGACGGAGAGAACGGCAATACGGAGGATAAATGTAAACGATGTAGACAACACTCTAAAACACATCAAGTTATTGGAAATCAGTGCCCACGGTAACAGCAGCGTCGAGATCCAAGTGAGTGAAGTAGTCCGGAAAAAGGGGTAGATGATCCAAACCATCATTTGGGCTTGGCTGCGAGTTTATTATTGGTTGTTGTTGTTGTTGTTGTTGTTGCTGCTGCTGCTATCCTGCATGCCAATAAGTAAACCGGCGGTGTGGAAGGGCACGGCCGAAACAAAAAATGACGTGGACGGTATGATGTATGTCGTCGCAGAACGTTGACAATTGATGGCAAGCACCCAAGAGGAGCCGGAAAGCGGGGGGTGCACAGGGAAGAAAATAACAATTTTCTGTTCAAGGAAATTTACATGCGAAGGGTAGGGAAGAGGGGTGTTACTGGATAACGGTCAAAGTGTTGGTGCATCTGTGGGGTAGCACTAGGTATATTTGTGTATGGGCATCGCATTCCGTTGCGTGAGCGATCCATGAAAAACTTTGACTTTTCGTTGGCGATGTGTGGGGTAGCGTAAGGTTTTTTTGTGTATGGGCGTCGTACTAGCGTTGCGTGAGCGCTCTATGAAAAACTTTGACTCTCCGTTGGCGATGATGTCTTAAGGTGTACCTGCCTTCTGTTCCCACTCCATGCGAACGATTATCTGACCTGGTCAAAACAACAACTACAAAATAGTGTAATTCCCTCGCAGCAAGGAGTAGCGGACCTGCTCCCTCCCCATTTTAATTGTAACAATATGGCGTCGTCGACAGGACACCAAGCTACGCGTGAAATCGCAACGGGTTTGCGATCCCCATTCTCTGAACCACTTAGGCACGACAACAACAACAACAACAACAACAACAACATTACGTCTGCAGTAGTTTCGTTCTATTTGTTTGCCGATCTATGCCACGGTCTGTGCATGACTGTCAAGGTCGTTCGCTCTCTGTGGGGCGACTAATAGTATAACCATGCGTCATGCTCATTGACTACACTGGCACCGGCCGGGGGAGCCTGATGACTACTGTAGAAACCGTGTGGCGCTAGTCTGTCCGATGTGAGATCGCACATACTACGTATGGGGGTGAAATCTAACGAAATGCGCACAGTACGGCTTTCCCACCTCTCCTCTATTTTTGTTTCGGAATTTATATGTTGTTCAGGCGCACGCTCATTTCATCGGCATCGACCCTGCTCACAGAGGGGCGGGGCTAGGGGCGCTTCTTTACGATCAGTTCTTTAAGGCGGTCCAGACTCATGGCTGCACCCTAGTTCATGCCGTGACTAGCCCTGCTAATACCGCATCTGTGGCGTTCCACAAGGCGATCGGCTTCGAAGCAGTACCCGCTATTGCGCCCGATGCAGAAGGTGACGAGAGAACGGGGGGGACTGGAAAGGCGAGATCGAGCTCAGGAGCGTCGGAGCATCGTTTCTTGAGTGAACACAGCGGAAGAGTCCCTGTTGATAGAGAGCTTGTACACCTCGACTATGATGGCCCGGACGATGGGGACAGAGTCGTTCTCGAGAAGCGTTTGTGAACTGCATTGACTGGTGTTGTACGTGCCGAAGCCGCACGCCGTAGATCAGTTTAGTCGAGGCGAACGAAAGCGGCACAGGAACTAGTAAGGCGTGCAACAACCCATGGGTCTAGTGCTAGTCCCACTGAGGGAGGCACGGGGGTCGTCGAGCTCACTCAAGGAGGGGTGCCGTAGAAGTAGTGTGTGGTGCTTGCGCTTTGCCCTCCGAAAACATACCCGAAGAATCGTGAGCAATGTGCGGAATCTCGTCTGTCCACTCAATGCCCGTTTGCCAATAACTTGGTTCGCTTGTTGCGCCCGATCTAGCCGGAGGGCATCGGAAAGCACATCACGGCCAACAAAATCGAGTTCAAGCCTCCTGTGAACGAACGCTTATGACTTCACCGTGCGAGCGGATTTGTAGAAGGAGAATCGAATGGAATCGATTGAAAAACATCACACCGCTCCGAGGAATGTTTCAAGCCCACCATTTCTGAGAGGGAAGCCCACAACATGGCGATCGTCATCCCGTCACCGGCATGATGCCGAAAGGAGAATGCGGTCATATCTATGAAATGTATTGGAAACGTATCCCACGCCACCACGGCCACACAGGCGTAACGGGCAAGCTGTGTGTGGTCCCCAGTCGGCAAGCTCCACTACCCACGCGAGCACGTTGACCGCACTATCATGGCACTCCCAAGGCGTGATTTCCCTCGATCCTGAACGCTTTCCGACGCCCATGTGTTATCCCTTTCTATGGAATGAGTACCGATATAATATCTTCTTTCCTCTCCCGCGGTTGACCGGATCATCCATCTGACTACTTGCCGGTCGAAGGGAAGAGGATGTTGGGGAACTTCTTGCACACGATGACGAATTCTGAGGCAGCGGAAACAACGGAGCAACGTGGGCAACAGTGGGGTTGGAATGGGTTGACGGTCCAGTAAATTTGTGCGATTACGTTTGCAGGGTAGTTTGGACAATACTCACACGGAATCGAGCCGACAAAAAAACTGGAGGGGTTCAAGAGCGGTATGCATACGACACTGTATAGAAATTGGTGTAAAATAGGCGTGACAGACGTCTACAATAGTCACGATGTGCCGAGCAGGTGCGAAGAATTCTGGCAAGTTGTTCAGGCACCTACCAAAAATTCGTGGTACGAAGTCACATTACAAGTGGGGGTTGGAAAAGTGTTGATGCAGTCGTTTGATGGACCCCTCAGGGTTTTAGCAGCAACAAGGAGCGTGCGGGGTGCATAATGTAGGCCAGACACCCTTCCGACGGCGAGGTTACCATAATAGTCAACTGGGTTGCGGACATTTACCTGCACCTGTGCATAACGCAAAGCACAAAAATACTGTTGAAAACGGGCAATACTGATGGTATACTACGTAATCATCGTGCCGTAAGTGAGGTGTTAGCGCGGTGAGACATGCCAATTAGTCCGGAAGGGATAAGCTGTATTAGGAATAACGAATGAGGGGTTGGATGTTGTTCTCAATCTAACCGTCGAAAGTAACGACTCCGTCGCCGTCCTTGTCTGCCTGAGCCATGATGGTGTCCGTCTTTCGAGCGACCTCGGCCTCCGACTGAGCCATGTGGTTGGCCTTCAAAATTCGTGCCAACTGTGCCGAGCGACAATACATAGCGTGGGGGCAACAGGGCGGGGGCAGCAACGTCCATATCAAAGGGGAGTATCAAGCACTCCCTCCGCTGTAACTACTGCAAGATAGCACTGGTACACATTCGTGTGCTCTAGGAATGCTTGTGTGTGACGTTCTACATTTCATTCGTAATCAATTTACATGGCCTTGGGCCTACGTAGGAGACAGGCAAAGTCTCCTACGTTTCTTCGCACAACAATGTGTTGCATTTGTCGTGCTTTGTGCTGTATGTAACAGAACCCTTGAGGGCGGAGGCACGCGCATTGTTCTTTCAAGTCATGACATTTCTTGAAAACCTCAATCCTTCCCCAGGACATCGTCCTGATTTGGTGGCAGATTAAGTTACATGAACAGGTGCAAACACAAGAAGCGAAACGGCACTAAATTTTGTAGTAACTAGATGTGCGGCCTGGGTCCAATCTCGAACACGTTTTAATAGATGAAGGACACGCCGATCTACCCAACCTTTCGCCGAGAAACGCTTCGAGGTTTCCATTTGCAGGGAACGTTTAGAGCAGAACGGTGGGAAGCTCGACCTTTCCTATTGTACCATGTACCTCTTGTTTGGTGATAACCCCGTTGCCATCCTCGTCGAAGATCATAAAGGCGAACTTGAGCTTGTCGTCCTTACTCGCACCCGCGAAGTTGGTGAGAGAAATCATGAACTCTCTGACGTCGATCTGCCCCGAGCGGTCGCCATCAAACAGCTGGAACAGCCCTTCGCACTGGGGTGAAGGGTCCACCTGTTTCGCGCGGCGGCAGTTGCATGGCACACGCCCATCACAACCCAAAGTGTCAATATCTCAAACAGCGACAACTTACAGCCTAGACTACTCCATGGATGAAGCATCACGGTCATAACGGCCACAAAAACGTTGTGGACAACTGCGCTAACGGCTTCGTGGCCACTCAGTCAGGAGCGAACGACAACAAGCCACAAGTAGCGCGGCATGTAATCTGGGGTCAGGCACCGCAGGAGCCAGTTGTTCTTCGACATATTGAACCACAAAACGACTGCGTTAGAAAATAGCACGCAGGGTGTCATAATTCCACCGAAAGAGTTTCTGTCAAAATAATCAGTGCGCTTGGTTTCGATTGAGACCGGAAAGTGGCAAACACCAAGGAGAGTATTTATCGAACGACGACGGCCACGACTACAATAGAACCATGTGAAATTATCTACAATTGTGTTTCAATAATGAATGCCGTCCGACAAAATGCTATACCGACCTGCATTATCTCGCAAAACTCCGTGTAGTCGATCATACCCGTGGAGTCCTTGTCCGTAGCCTGGATGGATTAAGGATTATTACGGCGCGGCAGGGGGTGGGTGACGAAGTCGCTGAACACCTGTGCTTCATGTTTGCCAGATCTCGCGCGGAAGTCTATGGCCTATGTGCACAATAAACTTCTCGGCCACTCCAAAACTTCCTGTGTGAACCCTTCTAGCTTTGAGTCTCCTATACTGGCATTTTTCGAACGAATGGCCTGGCACTGGTACTAAATGAAGAATATGGAACCAATCATCGAGCCGTGCCACCATGATGCGTCACCGTGGAGATGTGTGTTGGCATGAATACCACCAGAAATAACATGAGCGCGGGGTTCGTTCCTGGTAGGGGAAAACGGCAACCAAAACCGCGACAGATGATGATTCAGAGGAGGACGCGCATGGTCTACGACGACACCGCGCGTTATCAGCAGGCCATGATTGAATAGGTTGAAATGGAGCTATATCCGGTGTTGCAAGTTTCTGTGATGCGTTCAAAGGAACTAGAACTAACATGGATAGCGGTCGATCAGACGCTGCATCCAGAAACTAAATGCATACATTGTGAGACATTGACCAACTCGAAACGACCTCCTGTATCTCACCTGGAAGCGCTTGTAAGCCTTCTTGATGCTCTCCGGCTTGATGTTGTTGTCCCTTGCAAAGTCGTCCATAGCCTTAAACCCAGATGAGGACAGGAATAAGTGCGTGTTCAGGAGGGGGGGTTAGAATGGGTCAGAAACCCCAATAAATTAGTGTCGTAGTACCGGCTTAAACCTGGGTACACAAGTGCCCAGGACATCGGTAGTACTCTCTCGCTGTAGGTATCGGCCACAATCTACTAACGTACAACCCGACACAAAATATGCTTGGGCCGGTAAGGTCGGCCCCGATGTCCTTGTTTGATTGTTCTCCATTAAAGCAACCGAAGATTTGAGTTCCTCGGCAGCCGCCCCAACACACTTTCGTGACTCGCGTTCGTTTTGGCGAGACAACCTCGCGAACAACGGGTTTATCAACAAAAGCAAAACACGATCAACCCATTACCTTAAAGTCATGCACGAAGTGTCAAATCGTGCATGTCGTCAATCCAATGCCTGATCTAAGGAGGGATTCTGCCCTTGTAATCAAGCCGACTTGTGGGCCTTAGAAGATACGATATGAGCACGGTGGGAACAATGTCTACCTGCTTCTTTTTGTTGCGTTGCTGTACCACGTTCTGCCCCAATGGTGCTGTCGTAGCTAGCGCCGTTCCGCCGCCAGTTGCGCCCCCACCTCCTGCGGTTACGCCGCCGGTGCCCCCCAGTCCTGGCGGGGGCGAGTTTCCTCCGGTCACCATCTCATAGAACTCCGTAAAGGACACCTTCGATGCGAGGTGGGGTGCGGTGGGGTGGACTAAGGTGAGTCGAGAGGGGGTAGCTGTTGCTGTCGCTTGTTGTCGATGTTACTTCTTCAACTTCAATCGTCTTCACGCCTAATAACGTTCTCAATCCTACGAGCGACCTCTGAATCGGTCGTTATCCAACCGCCAATCGACGTCCTACCTTAGGGTTCGAGAGGAGAAAGGGGTATATTTGCGTGCGTCCTGCTGCGTGACCTGTAACGATACTGAATATCAATGGGACCTTACTCCAACTTAATTCGTCTGTGGCCCCGCTAAATCATTTCATACGATTGGTCATCAAGTGTGCGCAAGAAACAATACTTGGGGGGCGCATTGGAGAGCGCAGCCCTTTGAATCTATCCACGTGCTAGCGGATGAATACTGCATGGGTTGGTTGCGAAAGTACCTGTCCATCGCCGTCCTTGTCCACCATGCGGATCATCTCGTCCACCTCATCGTCCGTGACCTAAAGCAGTCAACACACCACGTTTACCAACAAACCGCAGCAGTAAGTACAAATAGGCTCTCAGAATCACATGTTGGTACATCAGATAAAGACTGCCATAAGTGTTTTTCTTCCGGAAATGTAAATGGAGATTTCATTCAGCCTTCAGTGGTTGTTTCGGGTTAGATCAGCACCGCCATACCAAGGACCTCCCGCCATACACCCACAGTCACTACTTTACCTGCTCCCCGATGTTGACGAGCACGTGGCGAATCTCGGCCGCCCCGACAAACTTGTTCTTGTCGAGGTCGAACGCCACGAAGGCCTCCCATATCTGCCAAGATACAAGATCGGGAAATACATCGCAGCACCGGGTTTTAGGCGTTCATTCGAGGGAAGGAAACGCAGCTGTGTCCCCTTCTTGTTAGATTCAACGTCTGCAAAAAAACTGATCAGAAGTAGGGAGGACCCACCGCTAACAAAATGTTTTTGAAAAAGAGCACCATGACATTTTCTACGTAAACCTGACCTTCACCCTTGACATATGTTTTTTACTGGGGGGTGGCAACTTAACAAGGTCGCAGGGAGTCTTGGTTGGTCATAAATACTGATCGTGACGCGGGAATCGGTGCCACCGTCATCACATGCTTCATCAGTGTCGTTGTTTTGCTCCTGTCGCTCGACCGAACATGAAGCGGCACGAGCTAAATGCATGACGTCGGATGCAGCCACGCAAAGAACCGTTTCCGGGAGCACTAACAGACGGAGTTGCTGTTCTATGGATCATGATTGGTACCATCTGTGGAAAAAGAGCGTGAAGCAGTTCTCCCTGTTCCCGTTGGTTTGTTGAGTAGAGCACGGGACTTAAAAGAACAACGAGAGATTTGCACAGATATTCCATGGAACTCTTTGGAGACATCAATTGGCGTGTCCATTTGGTGTTTGTGCATGTAGTTCGCTCACCTCCTCATCGCTGAACTTGCTGTTGGGATCTCTCGTGCCTTGGGCTTTGGGGGCTCCCGCTGGCCTAGCTCCGGTGGCAACAACCGGCCCTGCTGACAGCCCTGGCCCTGCCCCCGCCGTTCCTAAGATGAAGTAAGTACCATCGGTCCAAACCGAACATCGAGGACGGCAACGCCGGAACAACGATCGGGGGTGGGCCAGGTTGTATCCCAACATTGAGAAGCTGTGAACAAATTGAGCTACTCAGAAGAGCTAAACCACGAGTGTTGGAACAACTCGACAGGACGAAGAAGTCTCACCAGCTATAGGAGGGTACAACCAACCAATGCACTACTGTAACTTACCTGGTCGCTCGAACTTGACGGCCACGTGGATCTTCCCGACCCCGTTTCCTGATTTGTCCAGCATCTCCAAATCGCCTTTGAAGGAACCTTTCGACACCCAATCCATGATGTTCACCTGGGAACCGAGCGAAGAACCGGTGCTATTGGCGGGTGCTTTAAAAATGCATCAACTAGGCCCCGCTTGCACTCAGCAATATCACTTCAAGCTGAACAAAGCAAAGGTAGCGGCAAGAGAAACATAGTGGGATATTTGAGACATGTTCTGAAGTTTTCCTCTCCCCCATGTCAAGGTGGAATCTCTTCGAATCTACTCAGCGTAATACCTGATGAGAAGAAGCAACAATTAGTATATACCAGCGTGTCTGTCGTTCATTTCTATTGGCTTGCGGGCGCTTCGGGTCCATGGCATTATAACTTTTTCTTTTATGAGTTAGCCTGTGACCACGGGAATCGACCGCGTCAAGTGTTCGGTTAGTACGGACAGATGAAGGTCTGGATAGAGAGATCGGAGCGGTGTTTCATGTGAAGACGACGACGACGACAACAACAACAACAACAACAACAACAACAGCGTGTCGGAGATGAGCGCCGATTGTGTCAGAGTTAGCCCAAGCGCTGGTCACCTGTCAAAACTGTTCCACAGAATTTTTGCCTTGTATTGTCTGAATGGTAGAGAGAATGGGCGCAACGCACGGGTGCTTCGCCGGTGGGACCTGACTCTTGCTGTGTACGTTACCACTTCTTGAGAAACGCCCCGAGCATACAACGTTTTGTCTCTCCAACCCCAGAGCTAGTCGAAGTAGGCCATGTAGCCGTTCGGGGGTGTCCATGTAGGTAGTAGTGGCTGGCATGTTTGTTCGGCGACAAACACAAACGGAAATGAAGTGCTTGTGCCGGGAAAATTGATCGATGTCCAGCGGAACGCTTCACTTCATCTCCTCGGAGAGGGAGCGGCAAGGTATTCTTCCCAGAGCCTACCGGATCGAAATGTTCGTGTGTACCAATGCCCAAGAAAATCTTCAAGCCCCCACCGGCAGTGTATACTCTTCTGGCTAAGCACTGGTGGTACAGTTTTGCTTCGAAGAAATGCATGCCAACAAGTAGCAGCGATATAAGAAGACGCCACGATTGCCCCTTATTGCGGGTACGAGCGGTCGCCGTTTTGCGCTCCTACCCCCGTTATGCGGTCACCTTGAGTTCTCCCATGAACTTGTCCTGGCCAACGTTCTCCTTGTCGAAAATCTCGATCATGGCTTCCTTCTCTGATGAGATCTCGAACGCGTGCTCTTCATTCCACACCGGGTTTTTCCCGCCAGCCTATCGTTTTTCGCGCCATTTCGTGTCGTGCGCCACAGGCACATCCAGCGGAAGGAGAGAGGGTGGATTGGGGGCCATAGCGTTAGCTGTACAAAGAGTTTATAGTTCAAAGAGGTTATAATACTTTGCTTCGTGTATGTGCGATGTTTCACTTGGCGTTCCGACTCGGGTTCCAGACCCGCGCGAGCTCAGTATTTGTATTTTTTTAGCATGGACCGCTGGATGCGCGTCCTTCAAGATTCCGTCCTATGGCATTTTCGAGCACGCACGTCCCTGAACGTATCATTTCTATGTCCAATCGCACCTTGTGTGGGCGTGTAGAGAATTCCTGCGTGCCGATGACGACTTTGCAGTATGGGTCTGCCTTACCGAACATCCCCGATCCAGCCTGCGTCGGCGTGACGAGGTTGACGGAAAATACAGGAGATGGTTGGAACGAGATGGGGGGGTGTACTCAAGTCGTGCATGCCGTAGTCGTTAGACCATTGACCTCGCATCCCTACAAAGCCGGGACGGAGCACGCCGGGTTCTCACCGGACAAGGCTCTCACATCACCAAGCGCGAAGCGCCATGAGGTGTTCGGCGAGTCGCATGAAGGGTGCGCTGCATCCTGCTAAGGGTGTTCGGCATCTTGTGCTTACTTCCTTGCATACGGATGACAGCTGCGTATGACTAAATATATTTTCTGGTGCTTTCACTTCCAGAGACAGTTGTAAGCACTGTGTAACTGCCTCGAGGATGCGTGACCATTTTAACACAACGTGGTGCGATCGTCCCCCTTGCGCGGAGTGAGGATTATCCACCCCGCACAGCATGATCTACTCGACCACCATTATGGTTACCGCACAACAGAGGTGAAAAAAAAAACGGCAACCTGGTTGCCAACTTCCCGAAGTGAATTGGCATGTGTTACAACGTCGTTGCCAAGCGACGAAAACCCAACCCCGATGGCAAACACCGAGAGGGGTTGCCGGGGAGGGCGGTGTTGGAACGAGATGGGAGGGAAAAAAAGGGAAAGGAGAACGGAGAGGACATGCTATCTAGCAAGCGGGATAGAGCGGAAAGAGAGGGGCCGCGCATGAAGCCACACCGCAACACTATTATACATCAGGATCAGCAGGTCACTCGATTAGATAGGTGTACCGAACGTACCCACCCAGTTCCTTCACAAGTGTACCCGGAACCAGCATAGCAAGGCAGATACAACGTCCTTTGAACTCTGGTGTCACTTATTGCCAGAGCTACCGCATCCGTTTGTTAGTTGTTCATCGAAGCAAGTACAGATTTGCTACCGACCGCTCAATGAGCACTATGTCGGTCAAGATTAAGAGAAGAACCTGCATCATGGTCTGCCCCTACAAAGCGACAAAATCGGACAGCCTGAGGCACCTTGAGCTCGATTCCCTTGACACATTTGACGATGAGGTGTCCAAACTTAGGCGCGGCGGCCGGCCTCGGTGGTTCTGATCCCATCTTCGATCCCGGAGGTGGTGCGGGAGGGCCTCGCCCTGCATGGCAACCAAACCACCGTTAACGTGCGGAGGATAAGCACAGGGAAGCTGAGTCTATTGTCACGTCCTCCTTGCTGAACGGTACGCCTGCGCATTCCATCACCTTCTTTCTCTCTCTTGCTAGGGTCGAGTCTGCTGGGGATCATGGCTCTCGAGACAACGTTGTTTAGGGTCGCTGGGGTTTGACATGCTTACGTCCAATGCGCTCAGCACACATGCAATACCCTAGGATGTTCACTCAAGGCCCAAAGAGGGAACAGTGTGCACTGAACACAAGTATTCGAGTGTTCGCAGAGCGTTAACAATAGCTTCAGCATCATGCCGTATGCCGTACAACTGGCTCCTGTGATGGACGGATCGAGGTTAACGTTGAGAGTAGTTTGCAGATTGCTGCGCACAAACATCAAGTCCAAAAGGGTAGATATCCTGCTCCCCACGACGATCAGATCACGTCTCAGTAGCAATATTCTTAGAGTTCATTCCATTCTTCACGAATCAAGAAAACCGAAACGTAATTATACGAGGAAAATCAGACAATTATGCCATAAATATCGACGTTCGCAATGCTTGATGATCTTCTATTGGTTCATAGCACCGCCTGCTGAAGTTACTGTTCAAAACAGAACAGCGCATAGATTTTTCGTGTGGTATAGTGTATGCCATGGCAGGTACCCACCTCTCGTTTCCTCGCAGATGAACGTGGCATCCAGATCGGACTAGAAAGACCGACCGTACCCTGACATGTCTACCTAGGTTATCCCCCAAACCCTTGAAGAACACGATTTCACCACATGAACCCATGTATAAAAAAATAGAACGAGGCAGGATATGTAGCTAAGCTATCTTGCCGCGATTCCGCTTAAAAGTGGTGAGCTCTTATCAGATCTTCGGCCATTTATTAGATGTGCATTTCTTCGTCGTGGTGCACAAAATGGTCTGAAGGTTGGATTCGCTGTTCACCAAACGACATTGACCTCTTTGTCGGTGTGATCAGGTGGACTTTCATATTCCGTCTGGTACGGTGCGTAGTTATGGATCGCTTCCACAGTTGCTTTTTCGTAATAGCGTCAGTTTCATCATTGAGATCTGCGAGATACGGATACGGTATCTAGAAATACCGAGTTGCGACAGTACTGCCCCCAACAAGCATGGGCGTTGCACCTTCATGCCACCAATAAACTGGCGTCTCGATATCGATGACATAAATGATTGCTTTCCCTCGATGCAATCGGCAGAGCGAGCCTTCCACGGTCGAGGGGCGCCGTTGTGTAGAGGAAAACTATTGCAAGCAATCCTTCGATCCTTGACACGACGGAGTTGAGGTAACTTCACCTTAGCTAGCGATTTGTGCTGCAGCTAACCATCACATGGACAACGAGAGGCAACGATATGACGACAAACAAACCTGGAGGCGGTCCCCTTGGCGGAGGTCCCCTGGGCGGGGCCCCTCTGGGCGGCATTCCCCTGGGCGGGCCCGACGGTGGGCCTCTTGGTGGCGGGCCTCTCGGCGGTGGCCCTCTCGGGGGCGGGCCTCGACCCGCACCCCCGGGACCCGCCACCACCATAGCCCCTGGGCCAGGCGGTGCCATCCCTGGCGGGGGGCCTCTGTTGATAGTCACAACAAGCACCATGCAATTGTTTTCAAGCGCCGAGACATTGAGATGTTGCGATGTGATTTTCCCTGCATCGATGGCTGTTCGGGCGTTTGTATACAGCACAGATCATCAAAACTGCAGCTTGATTCTTTCTTCCTCAGGTCACTCTCGAAGGGATTTGCCGATAAACGTGACGGACACGTTGGGGTTGAGGAACATCCCGACACTATGAAGAGGGGGGAGACGTGGCACATTGCCCGGAAGCGTTGGTGCCCTTCGCCCTATAGAGTTTCCCATTCTAATGCGCTGTTTCCAGGGCGACCAACAAACCAGTACCTCGGTGATCCAGGCGGCATCCCGCGCGCTTGCATCCCTGGAGGCATCCCCGGAGGCCCTCTGGCTGGAGCAGCGCCGGGAGCCATGCCAGGCGGGGGGCCCCTTCGCAAGTCACGGTTGTCGTTGATGTGGACACGCTTTCAAATGGCGCGTGGAGCACACAACATCAATAATTCCAACGAGAGTCTCTGTACTTTTCTTGAATCACATTTCAATACGTGCAGGTTGTTTCTTCGTTTAGAACCAGGGACCAAAACCCGAAAGGCCAAAGCGATTAGTACGTCAGACGGGATCAACGCTGCGTATGAAATGTGAAGCGTATCTGATAAGCAGTAATTTGTCAAGTTTTTGCCGTGACTCCGGTTGCACAGACAAGCCTACGATGATAGCATGGAGCAGCCGTAGAGGGCACCTGAGGGCTGTGAAACTGGACGATATTGGTTGAATATCAGTGCTTTGGGAGGGCGACCAGACCCCTGCGGGGGGTCGCGTTTTCGGGAGTTGATACGAAAAACGGACATGCCTTGAGGAATCAAGGTGACACGTTTCCCGGAGCGCGAAACGGGTAAGGAGGGCGATCAGCACCAAAATCCAACCACCTCAAAGCTTCATTTGGGGTATTTTTGCACGAAGGGGGCGCAAAGCGCAACGGAACGTTTTCTGTGACGTTGCTGATACTACACTCGAATTTTTTCCAATTATGTTGTCTTTTTGCCTGTGCAGCCTCCGTCAGGTCTACGTCCAGGAGATACCTTGCACAAGAAAGAGCCCACCTAGTAGCAGTACTGCACACAACCACCAGCTGCCACCTAGATATACCCGCCTTGAGCTGCTGCGGTTCTGCCTACCTGGGTGGTGGGCCTCTCGGCGGTGGCCCTCTCGGTGGGCCTTGCGGTGCTCCGGGTGCCCCGGGTGCCCCGGGAGGTGGGCCGCGTGGAGGGGGGCCCCTGTAGCATTGTTAACAGTTGTAACTTCGTATTCTGTCAGAAAGAATGGTAGGTGTACAACAAGCACCCCACCTACTTTGTGAATGGCTTGAAGCATCTTGCGTCCGACTCTACCAGCACTGGTGCAGTGGTTTCTTTCGAGACCGAAGCAACGATTGATTGGAAACTAAGCAAACATCAAAATTCAAATGCTGCAATTCGAGCGGAGAATGAATACCAACTTGGCCTGTAATTCTGCAAAGCGAAAGTTAGGCAGATGGCCCAACACGGTTTCCTGCAACAACTCAGCTTTCATATTGTGCGGCATCTTGCATTCGCAAACCTATCGGAGTGGGTCATCAACACACACCTCGGTGATCCAGGCGGCATCCCCCGCGCCTGCATTCCCGGAGGCATCCCTGGAGCGCCACGAGGTGGTCCCCCCGTCGGTGGGAGGCCTCTGGCTGGAGCCATACCGGGGGCCATGCCGGGAGGCATGCCCGGTGGAGGTCCTCTGTTTTAGAAATTGGGTATCATGTGACGTGCCGGGGATGGGCCAAAGTTCGCATGGACACACCCGTACCATGAGACATTGCTCGCATACGTTAGAATTTGTGTGTTCACCTCTCTGGTCGTCTAGTTTGCGCGTGTAGAGAAGTTGGCTATGGTTCTCCTCTTGGATCTGGATGGCAGGAAACCATAAATACTCAACACACGTGATGCAATGCATACGCCACAGCCGCACAATGCACCTTGGCGGTGGGCCTCGAGGTGGCGGGCCTCTGGCGGGTGGGCTCTGTGGTGCTCCCGGCCCAGGGGCTCCTGTTGGCGGCGGCCCTCTGGTTGGGAAGCAATTAAAGCAAGGCAGATTTGAGTAAACTTTAGCAAGCCTGTATTCGTTCTACTCGGACATTTCGCAGGTAGTTTGGCATGGTGCACACGCCCCTTTCTCTCTGCAGGAATGGACACGGGTGACGCGAAGGGAATTGGCAGTGTACTGGGAACGGGCATGGATGGGCGTCACGCCGACAAGGATAGATCACTGAGGTTCCTCGAATGTTGGTTTAACGGGTGCGCCCAGAAAAAAAATACGAAAAAGAGTATGCTTTCGGTGTGGGAGGGCGCCGAGGAACGTCCAAGTCTGCAGAGTAGAAAATACATATGGGACGGTGGGAATCATTCATCTATGTGACTGCACACCGTGGCCCCGCGGTCAGGAAGCTCAGCCGGGAATTGCGAGTATTCCGTACCACACGTCAAGTTGTAGTTTCTCCCAGCCAACGCGGCGCCGAATAGCGCCGTTCGCCAAAACTGTGGGTCCAGCCAAGTCATTTACCTGGGTGGTGGGCCTCTCGGCGGCGGTCCTCTTGGAGGCGGACTCTGTGGAGCTCCGGGTGCTGGAGCCATGCCCGGTGGAGCCCCCCTGGTTTTTAGACATCGCAATCATGAAGGTGAGTAAGTGCAATGTTGAGAGCAGGCTTTGCGTGTGAGATTGCGCGTAGTTGTGCGCGGTGGAAGCTGCCTTGAAGTACGTTCTGGTTTTTTTTGGACAGAAACGAAGATCCCGACGCATTGCGAAAGTCCAGCTCACTTCACATTTCTCGATGGCGTTCAGCTCTACATTCGGTACTTCGCTAATTGCTTTCAAAGTCACCCGCTCTATTTCAAAGTGATCAAGCTCTGCACTATAGCAAGACGAGGCTGTTCTGAAAAAGCTATTGGTTGGTAACACCTGCACAGTTCCGACAAGTGCTTTCTAGGATACCCTCAGCGAGACGGAAGTGGCCTGAGGGTCAAGGTCAGTAACCGCCTCAGGCTGCTACACTGGATGATACTGGTACTTGAGAAAGACAATCTCATTGGTGGGTACTAGCTCCGACTCCTGCGGTCTTCGCATGGGCGTTTGCAACACAAGACGACACCGTTTCATCAATATCAGCGATACTTCCAGTACTAGTCCAATCGCAGCAAGAAAATTTGCCTCTGTCGTCGTCAGGCTTCTCCCATACCTGTGCACAACAACAAAATACGCGCTCTTTTCATTGAGAGTCTCCTTTTGACGAGAAGAATTTGCTACACACACTACACCACGCAGCGCCAAATACCTAGGCGGTGGGCCTCGTGGTGCTCCTGGTCCTGAGGCCCCTGCTGGTGGTGGCGCCCTGTTGTTGAAGAACATGACGTGAACGAGTATCGGGCCTTCAGGCCTAGACGGAGGTACTCTACTCGAAAAGCTTCCTGTGCAGTCAAAGTTGATCAAACCGTTTCCCGTGCCACTATCTGCTTTGAGCTATCTGCTTATGAGCTAGAGGTGGTCAAACGGTCAATCTACACTACTCCCTCGAGGCAGGATGTGGGTTTGATTCTCTCTCCGGAGGTTTGTGTTCCCGGGATTCATTTCCAGCAAGCTGTGGTTGAAAGCGATCTACGTCGTATGTAAACAAACTTTTGCTTCACGTTTGACAAGGGAAGGGATGGCTGAACCCTTCTCGCGATAGAATCTACGGCAAGGACCGCAGGGGACAGGTGGGGCAATGAAGCACAAACAAACAAACAAAAAGGTCCCGCGTGACCTTCCTCTTGTGTGACCCCGGCTGATACGTTAGATATATACGCCGAAAGGCCTGTAAACCGGCTCCAGAATAGAAGGGACAAACACACACACTATCTAGGTGAATGCATGCCCCCTCGTCTTCAAGGGCCACAGGCAAAATGTCGGAAGGGCAGCGGTCATTCAGATTCTAGCACTGAATGCTGGCTTTCGAGTGGACATTACAAGTAGGCTCCATAAAACAGTTGGTATTGAGGAGGCCGGTAGAGATACTCGAGCCCGTACAGTAGGAGGGAGCAAGCGCTGTGGGCAAAGCACTTGCCCAAGAGCTTGAATCCGGCGCATCGAGGTAAGCAGAAACTGTCAGCACCGACACGAGCAGTTTGTGTCAAAACATGTTGCATCATGCGAGATCGGCTGAGGCTGTTGTCACTCTGAAATGTTGTGTCCATCACTTAATCTAACGTGTGAGAAAACGATGTCCTTGCACAAGAATAAACGCATATCAAAATACCAGACACATTTTCGTGTCCACCCGGACTCCTACACAAATGACTCCCACACGAATGTGGTATGCATTATGAGGTATGCATTTAAAAGATTGTTGTTTTTAGTGGCAGTGTAGTGTCACTCGCAACATCATTTACCTTGGTGGCGGGCCCCTAGGGGGTGGTCCTCTTGCCGGTGCACCTTGTGGAGATCCTGGTGCCCCGGGCGGCGGGCCGCGTAGAGTGGGGCCCCTTGGAGGAGGACCCCTTGGAGGGGGCCCACGCGGAGGTCCAGATGGAGCACTCATCTATCTCTTGTAGTTTATACTTGTGTGCGTCGGTGTCAAGCAACAAGCACAGGGTTGACCGAGCTCGTGGCCGCCAGCCTGATCGTCACAGAAAATGCACGGGCGGCCCGTGGTTCATGGGTTGCTTCTTGATCCCGTGCGGTGTTTCAGAAATGAAGTTGTAGACGAATTGGAGTCGGGGCTGAGGAGGAGAGGGCAGAGGAGGAGAGGAGGTGCAGCCAACGTAAATGGGCAACATTAGGGAGACGGATCACTTGTAGCAGTAGTGTACCAACAACTCTTGCCGGAAACTGAAAGCGGTGGTCTGCCTCGTCTCCGGTGCTCGATTGTTTCCAAGTCCTTAATTTTAAGGCGGATAGTTCTTCCTCAAAATCATTAGCATCTCCATACTATCGGCCGTTTGAAACGGACCGACTTTTTTGTCAAAATTTTCGACATTTGTCTTTCAACAACTTGGAACCTGTGTGCAGTCTTTTAAACGTGTGACGTGGACTTGTGCAACTTGTGTAAAAAAAATGACGCCGTCCGTGAGTTGTAGCGCTCACTTCGAGACAACACACACGACACAACACAAACCGCGGAAAACACGACATCATGGACACCGACATGGATATCACGACCACCCAGCGTGGCCGGCAGACCAAAACCCCGGGGAAATTCCAGCAGACGGGCTCTCTCGGTGCCGCCGTAGGCGGTGGAGGCTTGCTCTCCAGCAAGAGAGTGCTGCTGCCTGGCATCTCGGGGAACACTCATGTTACCACGGGAGGCGCTGCCGCCACCAACACTCAGAGCGAGGGTGGAGCAGGCCGCCGGCGAGGGGTGGCAACCACTGCTCCTACCCCCCCGGGAAAAGGAAAAAACAAAGCGGCGGACGCGAAGCAACAACTGCAAGCCATCATGGCGGACCGCCGTTTTTCGGACGACACAGCAACAGCTACAGCAGACAGCATCGTCAACGTTGGCAACAGCGACGATAGCAATAGCGACAGCGACAGATGACTCACACACAACCCTAGCTGACTTTCTACGGTGAGGGGCACTCGTGGTGCAGACGCAGCAGCCCTCGCGTGCCTCTGCAAGGGTACTTTGGAAAGTGCTCCAAATACTTTGAGAGGGTTGTCAANGAGAGCCCAGCGGAGGAAGGGAAAAGTGCGCTGTTGACGTGTCCTTCGCACAAGGTAGACTACAGTAATGTACCTTGGGCTATGGTTATTAGTATGTATATGGCCTCACGCAGTTATTTCTGTTGTATCACAGACTGGCACTCGAGTATTTCCTGGACTACTGTAGATACCTCACACAGCAGGCACAACTCAGGTCCCCACTTACACACTACAGCAGATGTGCACAACGTGTGCTTCGGCAAAGTTTTCAAACTGATGAGGTGCATGGCTACTGCTACACAACAGGTAGGTGTTGCATTGTGTGCACCACATTTACCCCTCCAGAGAGACAGTGACCTCCTTCACACCTAGAACTATAGTTGTTAGCAATGGAAGACAAAACGGGGTTAGCCTACGCACCGACGGTGTACCGTAGGGCGCTCAAACTCACCTTGCCAAACTTCTCCGTTGGCTTTTCTCAAGGACATCGACGGACAAGAACCAGCGAGCGTCGTCGCCACCGTGTAGCTTATCGCCACGGTTAAAAACGTCTTGGCGAAACCCTTTGACACCGACTGATATTTACCATTCAGCCTGGCTTTGGCCTACGAGGCGAGCGCCAATGAAAGTTCGCCGCGGGAGGGTGAGACGCGAGACACGAAGCATACATGCGGCGGAATAGTGAGCGTTTCGCAATAGAGCGGGTGGGGTTGGGGTGTTTAAGTGTTTCGTTGGCCTTAGGCGGGACTGTCAAGGTTTGCGACCAAGGGAAACTCATTCCAGCGACAGCCGTAGCAAGTCGAGAAGGACGAGGGACAGAGTGGCGCGTTGAGAAGGGGTGCAGGAAGCATGGCTGCCTACAACACTGCTTTAGCGTCGGGCGCTTTGGAGATGCACGATGGCACCGTCTCACATGCACTGCTAGAAGAGAGCTCTGCCTGCCTCGAGGCCCTTCGAGTTGCCGTCACCACGGGCAAGGCAAGATGTTGTTGCATGTTGCATCCCTGCTGGGCAGACCGCATGATGATAAAGTTCATGACACCCTGGGACGTGCGAGAAATCGTCGGTTGCGGGGTGCTGCTATCGCATGAAAACGAATGAATCGAGAGGAGCATTCACGTGAAATGCACACCACAATCGTTGAACCTCTCGTCGCATCTGCTGGTACCCGCGCTTCGTCATCCAGCTGCAGGTGACGGGGAAAACGCTGCTCAACCCCAAGAAAGACAGCAAATGGGAGCGGGGTCGGACGCGCCAAGTGCTGCACTTCGGGGCACACGTCAGAGGTGGCAAAGCGGTCGGTGCCGAGGTATGTGCTACAACCTGGGCCTGAACATCCACCGTTGATCCCGGCGCAACAGCAGTCTAGTGGCCAGAAACGTGCTGAAGAACTGTCTGTGGTTGGGACCATATGGCCAGCAGTTGCTTTGGGAGCCTCGGTGTTGGTCTTCACTCTTCTCAGTTATAAAAATAGCAGACATAACACGGTGCTGTTGATGTCATGCATACTGTTTATCTATCAATGTTTGACATCCAGGTGGAAGAGATTCCTCCCTGCCTTCGTGAAGTCCTTCGGATGGTCGAAGCCCGAGGCTTGCTTGAGTGTTCCAGTCAGCAAGGTAAAAGGTTCCCCCACACAGAGCCAGAACATCACCCTGGCTCTTGGACAATTTGTGCTACTCAGCAGCTAGTTAGCGAGGCTGAATTTGCGCCCGTTTCTGATGCACATGGGACTGCTGTGGACATGCGACTGTGACAGGATGTGATACCTGGTAGTCTGCTTAACTTGCAACCAATTTGACCGGTGAACAGTCGTTTTCGAAGCTTCTCCTGACATCACACGTAAGTAGATCTAACTCATAGCCTTAAGGAAGAGGTAGAGCGAGATAGCAGAAAGGTAGACAAGATCTGCCCATCGTGTCGGGCATTCATGTGTTAGTTCCGCCCATCGCTGTTTTGGCGGCACTAGTTGTAGTGGCAGGTGACCAAGGTGCAGGAGCGGGGCACGGGAAGCGAGTTACAGCCGCCACGGTGGACTTTTTCCGCAAAGGGAGCTACTCCCCAGCACTAGCGGCGACGGCTTCGGTGTTCGTTCCTCCATCTTCAACTCCGCCCAAATCCGCTCAAGCAGCCGGCACCACGGGGGACAAAAGCTGCCGCGACTCGGCTCTTGGAGAAAGCGGTTCGGACACCGAGGCGGTGGTTTGCATGATATGGCTGCAGGTGCGAGCAATGTGTCTTGTTCGGACAAGCTTTGTCAAGGTTGTTCGTCTAGATCTTGCCCTGCATAACGGCACGGACGTTTTGGGTTAGGATTGCACAGACCGAACAATGCTAACTGTGATTGGTAGCATCGACTTTGAGCTTGCTAGCAACGCGTTTCGTGAAGGCGGCTGAAAGTATCGCGAAGAAGGAACAAAGACCACGTCGCGGGTACTACGTCCCGGGAGTGCCTTCATGGCGCTGTCGGTGGAACCGTTTCGGTGTGTTGGCGTTAACAGGCCGGGGGAGAAGTGGTGGTCGGGAGCGCACACCAGCTGGCCAACTGTAGCAAGGGCCCCCAAGAGAAACGCGCCAAAGACACACAAATACCTCCGAACGAGATGACCCGAGAGAAGAAGGAAGGGGCACGCGCAGAAGGGAAAGGAGAAAGGGGGGAAGGGTTATTCCCGGGGATGGAGAGGGTGTTGGCACCCCAGGGTTCTGTGATGATGTGGAACAGTGCTCGGGCTCAAGGTGAGAGCATGATAACAGCACGCAAAGCTGTACAGCTGTACTCCTGTAGAATGGAGCACGTGTCGTGGTATTCGGTTCTTCCTGCTGCACTGGGAAGCCGCAAATTCCTTGCTTTGGTGCTACCTTGATAACTAAACGCATCTCCAAAGCACTTCAAGGAACGTCGCCTCGATAGCACCATTATAGTGCAACTGTTGAATTAAGATACAGAGGTGAGAACGATACGCCACCTTGCGTAGTCAGTGTCTCGATTGTTTGGCTAAGGGTGATAACCAAATGGTCCTTTTGGCAGCAGCAGCAGCAACATCAGAAATCAACATCCCTGGCAGCACACCCTGTTTACGGTGGACTATCCCGAAACTGGGCATGTTCCTGTTTCCACCGACTGCGCACCCTCCTTTGCTGTACAGGTCTCCAAGTAGCTGTTCCGAGCGCTTCTCGGGATGCCATCCTCGTGTCGTTCCAGACACTGACACCAGAGGCCAGCTCGCGTGTTATCGCGAACCGCCGCGAACGGAAAGAAGCAAAGACAAAGGCAAAGATGTTTCGAAAAGCTGCCAAAGAGGCAAAGGAAGCCAAGGAGGCTAAGGTGGGACAGACCATCGGAATTGCCGAGGAAGCAAGAGGGGAAATGTCGTGCCACAGAGTTAGGTTGCTGGGTTCCACGATGAAGTAATTTCGGGATGGTCTCAAGACGGAAATGCACTGCCGCCTTCTTTGCTGTGACGAAGAACAAAGAGGTTGCCGTCGAAGAATCTCTGACAGATTCGACTGTTGCCGTTGACGTCCGCCTGGTTCTTTTCGCTTCGTCAATCAAGGGGCCAATACCTGGCACCCCAATCGTGGTTGCAGACTGGGAAGAGCGGGGGAATGAAGACGGCGACCGGGGGATGAGGTGGAGGCCAGAAAAAGACGACATGAACAGCAGTTGCAGTGCTGATGCTGAGCGGGGTGGCGAGGACGACGGGAGAACGCCTTCTATCGAGAAAGAGCACGTCCAGGCCGTGTACGACACCATCGCACCACACTGGTCTGTGACCACGCCGTCATTTTACTTCCGCAACAGCAGAACTTTCTTTCTGATACAAAATAGTCACATGGCAATCGCATTTACCGTGTTTCGGACCAACACTGTGCGTGCAGCATCCCAATCAACTAGACTGAAAGGCGGAGATGGAGCGAAAACATCTTCTTTGCGCTGATGTTATGTGATGATTCAGGGTGTGTTTGAGATGTCGCAAAACCTTGTTTTTGTGTCAAAGTTTCGTGTTGTGCGTTCTCCATACAAAGTGGGATATACGGTGGAGGAGGGCTATTGACCAAGTGAAGTTGCAGCATACCATATGTGACACAAGGTAACACACCCCCTGGACCAATTTTCAAAGCTCGATTACTCCACGACGAAGAAGATGCATTAACGTAATGATACATTTTCGAAAGGCTCTCGACGAGACGGTTTCAACCCCCCCGTTTTCGGCGCTGTGACCGTTCCTGCAGTTGAGAAATCGAGCTTCGAAAATCGGTTAAGGGGGTGTGTCATCTTGTGTCATATACGGTAATCCATTGCTCTCACAACAGACGCGCGAGGAAATTTGTCTCGTTCCCTTATTGCCAAGACAAAATTGCCACCTTCGTCGAGACCGGCCCGGAAAGACTTCGACGGAGCCAATTTGGAATATGTATGTCCGTCTACTGCGACTTGCACGACTGGGCGGGGTTCATGGCTGCGCGGGGTTCTGTCATTTCATGTTTCGTGCGTGTGTCTGTTTTCTCGCGCCTGCTTTCAGGAGCCACACTCGCTACAAGCCGTGGCCAAGAGTGGAAAAGTTTTTGAGCGAGCTGGAACCGTGCTCCTTCGTGGCGGACGCCGGCTGCGGCAACGGTAAGGCGCCGTCTACTGAATAATTGCCACGGCGCTAGGGATGACGTCGACGTCCCAAGTCTCTATTTTTTGTATCAACAACGAGATTTCTAGAGGTTACCTTCTCCTCATGTTACACATGGTATGGGTCAGTGGCATCATCACCTCCCGCCGTCAACTAGTCCACCAACCACTTGAGCATTCTATTCCGAAATGTGGCGAGCGTGGCTCGCGTCTTCGGCACTTCCAATGTTAATTAGGTTGGTTTAGGCGACAACGTGGATCGAGATTTATTTTACTTGCTAGTCTTTGCTGAAAGGGACATTCTTGCACACCTGCACTTATACCTACCAGTCACATACGTCACTTCCCGATGTTCTCCGGGTCCCGCAAGCATGTGGCGTACTCAACAGACCATGTTGGTTCAATGCCTCGCGCGATATGCTGGGTTAGCAACGAGCAGTCGTTATCTTGGTACGATGGGTAATTTCTAGTACAACGGGATGGTCGATTGCGCATTACCTTCCTTCCACCACGCGAAATGGCGAAGCGTTGATCGTACGCAGCAAAGGGCTGCAGATTGTACGGAGAGTGTTGGGTAGCTGAAATCAGTCTCACGCATGTGCTCCTGTTTTGAGACTGTACTGTTGTTCCCGTCGACGCTGCGCAGGCAAGTACCTTGGCTGCGACGCGGCCGGTGGGTTTCTGGTCGGCAGCGACACCAGCGTGAATCTCTTGCACGTATGCAAAGAACGCCTACCTAAGGTAATCGGAAGTACACGGGTTGCTATTGTCCGCGCTCGGCGTGGAACGCGTGTTTATTGAGCTCAGTGACAAATTTGGTCTGGTTCGGGGATGTTCCTGTACGAGGAGATCTGAAGCGATGTCCTCCCCGCCTCGAGTGTTTGGTTTATTTTCATTGCTTTGGACTGCCTGGCGAAGCTGTGGCGCCGTCGGCTTCGGCAGGATTACTGTTGGAAGGGAATGCGTCGTCTCTCGCTCTTCGTTGCTGCATAAGTGTGTGATTGTCAGATGATACTTACCAGAGACACACGAGGATTTTTTTTGTCATTGAGACCACATCCCTCCTGAAGCCCGCCATGTGCTGGAGTAAATAGCGACGCCGGGGTGAGCAAGTACACAAACCAACCTTTGGTACCGTTGCTATTCGTTTGGTTTCAAGCACCCCTCAAATAGTGCTTCTTACGGGGGATGGTGCTTGTTACTTAAACGTGCTACATGGCTCTTTGCTGCGAAACCTTACAGGCGGAAGTCTTGGCTAGCGACTGCATGCGGCTGCCGTACCGATCGGGGGTGTTCGACGCGGCCATCAGCATCGCCGTCTTGCACCATTTCTCCTCAGAAGTGCGTATAACTTGGAATTACTACTGTATGGCGAGGGATAGTGGCGTGTTTTTTTCAGCTGTCGCGTTCCCGGCCACAATGGCACTCGAAATACCTGTATGTAGTTTATACTCAACACCTACGCAGTCGCGTTTCGAGCTCGCTCACTGTCAAGAGCACGGGTTGTGATAGTTTTGAGAGGTCTTTGTGTGAATCCTTTTTAAAGCAGTACGGGGTCTAGGGAGTCTAGTGTTCAAGTCGACCAAGGGCGTGTTCGGGTCTAACCTGGCAACATCGCGATGAGGTCGGGAGCAGGGCGGCTGTGCTTTTGCTGCCTCCCTCCCCTCTTCTTCTAACACTTTTGTCTGGTGCTGCACCGGCTCACCTTTTACCAAGCTTGACTGCAGACGGAAGTGTGCTGTTTGCCCTTTCAATTGTTGGAGAAGAATGTTCAAATATTTCCGTGCCCCATCACGCTACGAAGGTGCGACGGCTGAGGGCCTTGACGGAGCTTTGCCGGCTGGTCAGGCCGGGAGGGAGGTTGCTGGTGTACGCGTGGGCCATCGAGCAGGAGCAAGACTCGAGGAGGTCGGTCGGTGTTCTTGCAACTCTTATCGGTCGGTGGCTTGAAACATCCTGTCGTCGTCGTTACCTGTTGGCTCATGTGTGTGACCGTTTGGCATTTGGACTGCGGCTACGTTGGGAGTGCGGGAACTGAGATTGCCATGCTGTTGATGGCGTAGAACGCTTGACTGTCTCGTACAACATAGGAGAGAGCAAAATGGGTAGAGGTGGAGGTCCGTGGGGATCGGAGGTGGAAGTTGAAAAAGGAAGTTCACAGATCCCGACCATAGATGCAGGGTGTTGAAGAGAGAATGCATGCATGTTCTCCCTCTCGTCCCAGAGTCTGCGTCAAGAGGCAACCAAGTCAATGTACCGATACCGGACGAAGCATACCACATCGGAACTCTTTACACCCGTTTTTTCTTTCTTGTATACCTTGGTTTCTCTTGAGGAATACATCGATGCACACGGTATTTTTTTGGCGTTGACGGTGTATTTTTCGTGGCGGGCATGTGGTTCCTGTCACGTCGCCTACCCGTGGGTGCTGTTTTGCCTGCTTGGTATTTTTTGGCTGCACCGATTGCAGGAGCTTTGCCGCCCAGGACGTCCTCGTCCCATGGCACCTTGCCGACCACCACAACCGAAGCCAGGGTCGCGGCACGGACGACGATGGCAGCAGCGGTAACACTATGAAGGGCGGCCAAGAATCCGAAGAGCCGGCGACTGCCAACGTCGAACGAAGTGGGGCGTCTGCGCTAGCTAAGGGCACCGAAGATGGAGCGGTGGCGGCGGGGGACAGCAAGAGCCATGCTGGGGGTGTCGTTGCGCCTACCCCGACTGCCCCGCGGCACGGTGTTCGTGTTGACGGGGTGGCGGGCACGGCTGGTAGCGTGGTCTACCAAAGGTACTGCCACGTATACGCAGAGGGGGAGCTAGAAGGACTGGTGGAGAGAGTGGATGGTTTGCGGCTAGTTGAGAACTACTACGATCGGTCAAATTGGTGTGTCGTGGCCGAGAGAGAGATGTAGTCTAGCAACCCGGGAAAGTGGCGAGCGGGCGGGGGGGTGGGGGATAGTCGTCTTTTGCCAACGCATACCACTGAACAACATTGTGGCGTTTAGGCTGCGCCTATACCAGCCCGTCCAGAGATTTACTGAGAATACCCTAGGTATTATTCTTGCCTACTGGGGGCTTAAAGCGTTTCGTTTTAACCGTTTTGGCGCAGGTATGCACCACATACATATAGAGGAATCTAGGCGATTCAATGGTACAGACCGAAAAATGGGATCCCGTCTACACACGTGCATACGTGCCATCGAATGCAGCCTTATATACTGCCACGACGGTTCGTTTCTGTGTCTCGGAGAAACGGTGGTGGGTATGGGAGACGGTCTTGTGTTCGTCGACCACCACCTCGAGTAGTTTCCCTCTTCAATCTCCACTCCTGTGGAACACCGCTGCCCTATTCACTCTCATCAATGCCTGTTGACACTAGTCAATCGTGGATTACGCATGGTATTTGCTGCAACCAACCAAACCGTCGTGGGATTGCCTGCCTTCCACAACTTTCCGTTCTCTCGACGGCGCCGCGTTGAGACGAAGTCTACTCTGTCTGGCGTCAACCCGAAAACGCCCATGAACACATTCCGTGAAGAGCGAGCAGCCGTCGGTTTCAGAAAGGTCCTTTCCTATCCTCGTGCTGGAAGGTAGTACCACCATCCCGCCTTGAGAATAAGAGTTCGTGTGCGGTACGGGAGGTGTCCCATCGGTGCCGTACGGACGACGGTAGAAGCGGTAAGGGACGCCACGAGTTAGTTGCACATTTTCAATCCGTGACGAAGGGCCCCCCGGAACTTGTCCGTGGCGATCGCTGTGCTGTGTCGTACGTAGGGTGTGTGCACGGGAGAACAACACCGGAACTCCCCTCCTCCCGCTGGGATTCAAACGTTCAAGCGACATTTGTTCTAAAGTTTGCTCCAACTCAACCAACGCAATGAACCTAAGTTTACGACATTCACGTGAGTGAGTGGGAATAATGCTGAAAACTGATATGCGGCTAGAAAAGCGAATGCTCGGGTATCAGTACACCAAAAGAACAACCGCGTGCATGTTCTTAACACTACGTATGTCTACCGTGGATTGGCGACATACGAAAAGGCGCTTCAACTTAGGCCTTCAGTCAATAGCGGATCCTTCGGGATGGTGGCTTTGGCGAGCGACTTTTGGAATACTACAAGCATCGTACCTAATCCAATCTGTTTTGCCACTTCTATCGTCACCACACGCTTCTGGTCGTGACTCTCCAATCCACCTCGCATGGTCCACGACCCCTGGCGCATCTCTTGGATCGATGGCCGCACGTAGATCGTCTCGACGGTAATAAGACCTCCCCCTGCAGTGGTCGTGCCATCCCCGGTGGTTGTCATCGCTGCTGTCAACCCCTCGATACCGTGTTGGTGAGCATGGGGTTTGTGGGACCCACCGTTCTTCCCTCTGGGCCGGATATCGCGGCGGAGCACGCGCATCGTAGTGGTAGCGATCGTTGCCGTCCCCCACCCAGCGACTCACCGCACCAGCCGACCGCCTACCCTCCTGGCGGTAGTGACCCGGTGCCGCATCTATGGGGCCTCCATCGGTCCGTTTTGGCCGCCGTTGCTCATCGTCAGCGCAATATCTATATGACAGTGGCGATGCAGCCCTGCTAACGGGACAGTGCGAGGCCGGCTCGCGATACGCCCCTCCTCGTGATGAGCCGTACGGGGCTTGTTGTACAGCATCGGGAGGTTCATAGCGTCCCATTTCTCTCCCACCACCCGTGTGCGCCGGTACTCGGTCGAAAATTTGCGGAAATAATCCAGGACTGGCCATGATCGCAGCACCCGCATCAGCCACAGCGGTCTCATGTACGGGCACCGCCGCCGCCACGGACACCGACCCCGCCTGCGGCTCAACGTTGACCAAAGGTCCTGCAGAGCTAGTGATCCCTTTCGTAGCCCCTGTCCTCACCCTTGTCTTGGCGATTCCCCCTACCGGTGCGCGCGCTGGACTTCGCTCCACCCTTCCGCGGCTTTTCGACCGCGTTACTCCACCGCTCCCTCCCGGCATGGGTGCATTGGAAGCCCTGCGAGAGGCCTCGCCGTCTCCCTCTCGCAAGAGGGTGTCCAGGCGAGCGATAGACGCGGTCAGTCGCTCCTCCTCTTCCTCCTGCGTTGTACTCTTTGCGATTTGCCTTTTTGCCTTTTGCCGTCTATGCAAGCCGCCGTCGTCACCCCCGACTCCAACATCACAACGGCGAGAAGAAACTGGTGAGTTCACCTTGCTGCCAGGAGCAAGGCAGGGGGGCTTGTCCTGGTGGCGGCCGTCAATGGCTTCGGGGCGCGTGATGTCGTGGGTAAAGTTCGCTTCGATCGCACTTGGGACTTTCCCTTGGCAACCTCCTATTGATTTGTCAGCGTCGTACAAAGTGCTGTTCTGTTGATAGACTGTGGAAGTAGCAGAGGTGGCACCCGCTCTGACGTGCCGAGGATCTGCAGGCAGCATGGTGCTGGCGTTAGCGGCTAAGCACTTTCTTCGAGCGAGCTCCATAGCTTCCTCCTGTTTATGCGGTGGACAGAGCGGCCGAGATTGGACATGCACATGTGGCCTCGAGATACTTCAACACTGCCTCGCATGTTTTCGTGTGTGCCGCGAAGGCCGGTGCTGACATTCGTTCATTCGAGACATTGAGCTCTGCCAAGACGACTAGCAATCGGGCGCACCGGCAAGTGTACTTCTCAGCGGCAACATTCAAGCTCAGCACATGTACAATGTGACTGGCGGCAGCAACGGGGACACGCTCCCTACACAGGTGAATGGGCCCAGAGCATACCTCAAGTTTGCAAACGTATGATCTGCACACCTGTGTACTTCATTGACTGGATCATTCTATACCTTGATGGCCTAGTAGAACACCAAACATCAACGGAGGGGTCAATCCATCCGCGTTTGCTGAGCAAGGAGCAACACGCGCTACAGCGACCTCCCGTCGAGTCACCTTCGCTTTTTTCTGGAGCTCCTCGGCATACTCCGCTCGCCGCTGTAGCAGCTTCCTCCGCTCCACTTCCACCTGGCTCTCCTTTCCCTTCCCCCATCGGGCCCGCTCGGATATCGGCGTGGATGGCCTCCCTCTGTCGGCTGCCATCGCCGCCGCCAATCGTCTCGCCGCCTCGCACCTGGCCATCGACCTCGCACGTCTACCCATGGCCGCGACGTAGCCACCACCACATTGCCGTCCGGGATTTGTCTCTCCGCTAGCGCTGGAGAAAACGGAGCCCCCTGTTCCTACGTGGTCGGCGGTGCTAGAGAGAGGAGAAGCTCGGTACGCAGATGACGACGTAAGTGCACCACCAGCAGGAGCGTCTCGCCTTCTCGATCTTGCCGATGTCGTCCCGGGCGCCGAATGGGCGCCGCTAGCGACGATGCCGCTACCCCACACCGCCCTCTTTTCGCTACCGTTCTGGTTTCGGCCATCACCGAAGCCGCTGGTCTCTGCCGGCGACTCGAGCGCACAGACTACGGGTGCTGCTGCCGCCACGTAGGGGTTGGCATCAGCCTGCAGGCGGTGAGGGCGTCGACGGTTGACTCTACCTTGTATCGCGTCTGAAGCCTCTTCTTGGGGTGGCCTGCATCCTGAGGTGACGGAGGATGCCGGTGTCATTTTTGTCGTGCCGTGAGTTCCGTGGGAGACTACGGAACGCTCGTCCACAGTGGCAGCCTCGGTAAGTGGCGTCAGCAGATCCCACGGAAGTACCGCGGGGTCAGTGGGTGCAGCACCATTGTGGCTGGCGGTGGTAGCAGGGGAGCTACCGTCCTTCGCCATGCCCGGGGTAACTTTGGCCGGTAGGATGGCGGTTATCACCGCTTCCCGGCCCCAACCCGGAGCCCTCAGCCTGGAAGCATGCGGGGGTTCTCGCAACTTGCACTTGACATCACCAGTCGGCTTGGTCGTCGATTTTCTTGAAGGTACTGCCGGAGGACTCTGCACGGCGCGTGCTGGACGTAGAATAGGGACCCTTTCCGTTGCCTGATTTGGTGGCCTTCTCGTTTTCGGCTCAGTTGCCTCCTCTGGTACGGCCTTAATCAGCGGCCTGTCTCGACGTGGAGGGGACGCGTCGCCCGACGTCGCAGTGTAGCGCCCCGAATGAGTTTCTACTGTGAGTGCCGCCATGGTCGAAACATTCTGGTCGTTAAGTGCATGATCTCGATGTCGGATCTTGGTATTTTTGGGGGCCTTGTCCGGAGACCGTACGTTTTGGGGGGTGATGAATTCCGTACCAGGAGCAAATCGAGCTGTCGCTGAGATGGCCGGGGCACCAATCTCGTCAGATCGCCCGTCCGCCCTTGGGAGCAGGCCGCCACCGGCTTCGGATGCCCTATTGGGAGTAAGAAATCACGCCACGAGGCGACCGCAGTTGAAGGCCTACTATTGTGCGTATGGGAATGGTGATAGGCCCAAACGATAAGTGCCATCTGATGGCGATTGTAGTAAGACTTTGGCGAAGACGTACACGCGACCGACTTGGACCGGCGACGAAACGGGTGCGACGCGGCGACTCTGCTTGCGGGTAGGACAAAGCGAAATAAGAGCGAAAATCACGATAGCCGGTCCCATTAATTCCCACGTCAAGGCGTCATACAGCCGATCGCCCTGAAGTTCATGAATCACGCTTTGTTGATAGGTGCTTACCTGGCGGAAACGTCCAGACTGTCGAATAGCTCCGACGGTCGACTCCTCGTATTCGTCGTATCGTAGTTGATTCCTTGGCCACTACAACCCTCAACATCAGCCACATCACTCCGAGTAAAAAACGTCTCTTGAACCCCCTGTTGCTCGCCCGTACTCTCGCGTTCACGTTCTTGGAGCGCAGCAATGTCAAGCGGTAGCGTGTCGTCCACCCTTTGATTCACGGTCCCTTCTCCGTGGGAAGGAACTCTCTGCACTAACGTTGCCGGCCGCAACGTGTCTTGAGCACCCCCTTTGTTATCACCTAAATTTATGTGGACATCTCGTCGTCTACCGTCGTCACCAACTTGTTCAGCCTCACCAGCCCCTGGTTGAGCTCCGCCCTTCCATGGTTGCTGGGTACGTGCACTGGCAGGGCTCGTGGCTTGTTGGGCTGGTAATAACGCGTCGTTCACATTCACCGGTTTTGGTGAAGCAGCAGTCGGAAGTTCGCCTGTCGCGCCATTGGTTAGTCTGTTTCTCAGATCACGCAGCTGATTCCTGGAGGTGAGCGAAGCCCGACAGGCAGTTGGAGCCCGTGCAACACGGTGTTTCAGGTTGTTGAGTTCGGCACCCATGAGGACGATAACCAATACTGCAGGTGTCCCGACATAGTGCCGGGTGAATAGTGCCAGAACCCGGTATAGTGCCCGTAATTTTTCTGGACATAACGAAGGGTCTCCACGATGCTAAATTGAGGGTTCCCACTACAGGGTCGGTTCAGGCACCATCGTATCCCTCAATAGTGCTGGTTCAGACCACGTACACAACCTTTCTTTTCCAAAAGCCTCCCGCACCAACAGGATTCAGAGACGTTTTACCTTCGAGCTAGCTCGTTTTTGTCGGTACCAACTCGTGCAGTGTTCAAACGTTATGGTCTACTGATCAACCAAATTCCACCACAGCCAACAGGCTGGGATTTCAGTAGTAGTGACGCGGGCGAAAAGCAGGATGGTGGTAGTGACGAAGGAAGTGGGAAGGGGAGAAGAGAGAAGCATTGGCGGTGATAATGGAGGAGGAAAATTCGGCGATAAAGAGAGCAAGAGTTTCGAGCCAGATGGCCTTTCTCACAACAAACGCCGTATGAACAGAGATGAACACCCGAAAGTGGAAACATCAGTGAAAAGAGTAAGGTTGGTAAATACAAGGAAAATGATGAGAGAACTCCGAAGCGAACGTGTGTACAAAGCAGCACAATTGGTAGACACGTGCAGTTTTCTTTTGTTGCTACCGTTTCAGTCATTATTCCGGAAAATAGCCTAGCCTCCCTCATGGCACCCCCTCACAGAGTCCGAGATCATGATTTGAGAAGCGTTTTCTTATGTTGTGTTTTAAACCGCATTGAGACTGACGTGTTTTCCTTGGTCAGCCGGTTAGTGCGGTCGACGGTAAGACACACACAGAGACACAGATTCCATACACGCGTCTCACACAACCGGTAGCGTGCACGTACTACTACTGAAGGCCCCATGCAAACCAGCCCAATACAGAGGGCCGGGGGGTAGATAAGCATAGCTACGGCGGCTTGATAGCGAATAATGTAGCGGTCGATATTTCTTGCTTCTGAAGGATCGATTGATTGTTCACTCCTTTGGGTTGCATTTTACGTTTTGTTTTCTTTATGTAAGGAGGTCTACGTCCATGTCGTCCTTCAGCTGCTCGTACATCGGGTGCGTGCATGAGCGTCCTTCTTTCTTTGTCGAGGGGTGCCTTTGAGGTTGCCTGAATAGTGTTACGGCTTTCATGCCACTACACCATTTATTAGCGAGGCGCCCTTTGAATGGGCAACACAGTCTACGATTTGAATTCAGCGGCAAGGTTTCACTAACTTGGTGCGTGCGCTGAGGCGGGAAGAAAACAACGGTGCGATAGATAGTGTATTTTCTGGTCAAGTCAGTGTTGATGTGACCAATGAATGTGGAGCCTCTCGAAACGTGACGAAACCCGCCAACGTCAACCACCTCGCAATTGATCCGCATACCGTTCGTTTGGCGCTCTGTCAGCCCCGCAAGCGTAAGCTCTGCATTCTGAGATCGAACACTCGTCAATAGTAGGTACTATTGAGGGATGTTGAGACCCTGAATAGTGCCGGCTTGGCTTACTCTTCTGAGTATTGCCGGTGGCCAATATAGTGCCGGTCTGACGTTTGGGCACATACCGGCACTATATCGGGACCAATTGACAAAGTGCAACTCTCGACTTCAGTAACCACAGGCTCACACGTTGGCACGTGTAAAGCGGGGTAAGGATTGATGTAGAACGTGTAGGTCTAGCGTGTGTTGCTCTAGTTTGGAGTCCGCCCACATCTGACACCGTTCTTTAGAAAATGGCAAGACGTACCTGACTTTGGCCCGTCTGCCTCCATCCTTCGGGTCGCCCACGGCCTCACCGGGTTGTAGCGGAAGGATTTCTCCACACCATTCTTCTATCGATGGCGCGGCCGCATCCTCCGCCAATCCACTATCTTTTCCCTCCTGTGTATGAGGGGGTGTTCTATCCCCAAGCTCGTCTGAACCACGAGGGGTAACATCGTCTCTGCTCGACTGGCCAAGTAGTTCGTTGTCGTTCGCGATGGGATGCAGCAAGCCTTGCTGTTGGTGCTGGCGCTGCGGGCTATCCTTGAGCGATTCGGCGTCTGCTTGCCTGAGTCTCGGGTGGTGTGCATCTCGACCTTCCGCGCTTCGAGTTACCTGGAGCCCGTTTTCTACCAAGCGGCTGCACTCTAGGCTATCGGAAGAAATTGTCCTGGAAAACGTCGAAAATGAAGCCAAGAGATTACCAAATAGATCGTCTGTTAGTGTTCTGGAGTATGGACTACGTGATTTTCGAGTAAGAGCTTCGTTCTGCTGCAACCACAGATGGACCAAACATGATCGAAGCGAAACTCGCCATCGACGACCAGCTTTCCCCTTGCACATTTCCGGGCATGATGATGCATCGGATGCCTGCCTACCGTTTGAGGAGAAAGAACGCTATCGCCCACCCTCATTCAGAGCTCCAAACCATCTTCATCCTATCTCAACGAACCTTCTCGCCACATTACGCGGGTACAGGCCACACAGTTGTTGAATAATGGTGCTTCCGCTAGTCGACCCCCGCCGCACCTGAAAGTGCTGTCTTCGCCGCAGCCGTGCCCCTGCTTCTTCCTTTCGTCGACCGTTTCGCTGGGCGTTTTCGTCTGCGCTCCTTCCAGCCGCCCGTGGTTGTCGTGAGGTGCCGACCCTTCGACTAAGATGTTCGGGTGGGCATAACGAACATCCTTGTCCCGCGGAACTACTCTTGATCGATATTCCTGAGCGCAACAGGGGCACGGGCAAGGCACACATGCGCATATATGTCACGTGGGTGTCGTCATCCTCTGTCTGCGCTGCAGTCGACCCTCAAGTGTGTTTTTGTTTGATTCTGAACAAGGTGCAAGGAGAGGGCATCTGGAAGATGAAAGAACAAGAGGCTGAGTGATACACCACCTGAAAGTATGAATGCTGGTCTTGCCGGCCCCCGTGGGCAGGTGTCGTGATGGTGGCACCTGGGGAGACTGCGATATCACTCGTTGCCGTCTGGGGCGTGATTTCCTCGCTTGATGAGCCCAGCCACCTGTCCTTGATGGCCCTCAGCTCTGGCGGCAAGTTGGCCCACCTGCGGCACGGTTCACGGTAGTAGTCCACCACGGATGATTGCAGCATAGAAAGTATTTACCCAAAACCATTGTAGACAGATATTCGGCACAAACGCTTTGCTGCATCGGACTCATGAGGATATTGCTGTGCCTCCCAACATACAAGACTTTACCATGACCAGCGGTAAGGTGCTGACGTCCACAAAGAGTAGCCATTGGAAAATTTGTACATATGTTGTTGTTGAACGAAACGCGCAAACGTTGGATCCGATGACACCACCGGCCTTCCTGATGGGCGCAATGCAGGTTGTGAGTTTCTTCTCGAATTTTGAGACAAATCACTGTCATCCCGGGCTGACTGTGGGGATGGTGTGCTACGAAGGAGAGTAGGCGATAGCCTGGTGAGAACACCTTCACTCGACATCCTTACACTGAAAAATCACAAACGAGCGTCCGGATATAGTTGAAATCACGCTACGAACGCGATGAAGGTAGTGGAACCGAGAAACAACGTCTTACAGTGTAGACGAATGTTTCGTGCACTCGCATCCGGCAGGGTCACTTCGTACCGTCGTACTGCCTCAGGCTTGCTGCCCTCAACCAACACGCCAAACTAACCTTCCACCTCGTGACTGCTCCCCCGAGTCCCGACCGGCAACGGCACCCCCATCAACGCCAACATCGCTGCTGACAAGATAACTTCGATCGATCACCGCCGTCAACTTCGGCGATATCGTCTCCACTCGGCCAGCTGCCTCATGACGCGTCCATGCGCTGATACCCGTCATCTCTGCGGCATCTTCCCGCTCCTCCAGTGTACAGGCAGCGCCGACAGAGTTGCCAAGGGTCCAGTTAACGTTGGCGTTCCCCTGCCTCGTGCTGGTGAGCTTGGCAGGGCTCGTTGCCGATTGTCCAGTGCCGAATAGGACCGGGGTACCGCCACGGTTATTCTGCTCCCACGGTTGCGCCGGTTTATGGACGGTGTTGTCTCCTACAGGGGCGGGGCTCCCTTGTTTGCGCCAGCTACGGATGTTTTTTCGAACGGAGCAGCCGTACTCCTGTTGAAGTTGCAAACATGTACGAATAATGTTCATCATGTTGTTAAGGTCCTCGCTGGCGAGAAGCGAGCTTATCGGTACGCAATCGTGTTCCGATGAGTCTCTGCTGCATGCCGCTGTTCAGTACAGAGCGCCCATGGTCGCCCCGTTAGTCTAGTGAATAACCTCTCAAACCTACTAGACTTCATGGTAAGAATTCGATTTTCTCTGTGGAGGGTGTTCCTTGCCTGCAACTTGCAGTGGAAAGGACTACTTTCGTGAGTAGATACACTTCGACTTCACAGTTGACGACGGACAGAGGCAGCTGAACCCTTCTCGCGATAAAAACTAAGGTCAGTACCGCAGGCGGAAAAGTGGGGCCACAACAAAGGAAGTTCCTGTGTCAGCTTCCTCCTGGGTTGTTTGGGGTGCTCGGCAGAGTATACTGTCTACGGGGCCTCCGGGGGGTACGCGGATGGAATGTATTGACAGACATGCTGCATGGCGATGGTGTGGCCTACCGCATGTCTCTTACTCTCTAAGCAACAAGGTCTTGAGTCAACCTTCTTTCTCTTTCGGCCTCAGACGAGCTACCTCACCCAAACACATTATATTGTAAGGCCTGGTGTTGGTAGTGGGTATTGGCGTCTGAGCGGTGGGAGCTGGGCCATCGGGGCAGCGGACACCATTTTCATAGCTGG